GTTGGCTAATAATGTACTAGGCACTAATGCCTATGACTCACAGAAGGTGCCTGAGGTGCCTATCGGCTTCAGTAATTAAAATCTCAAAGTCACTGATGTTGTATTCAGAAATAACAATTTACAGGTTAAGCTATACCTATGTTACGGGCGATACAATATATTTCCTACTTGGTAGCGGCCTAGCGTGGGCTGTGACGGGGAACCACCGGCGTTCGCCGTTGAGCGCACTCCACACACAAGTGTAAAATGTCAAATCAGCAAAATATATGAACTACTGTGTCCCTACATCATCATCATCATTACAGCCCTTCACAAGTCCACTGCTGAACATATGCCTCCCCCAAGGAATGCCAAAAAGCACGGTCCCGAGTCACCTGCATCCATCGACTTCCTGCATGTCTTACCAGGTCGTCACTCCATCTCGTGGGGGGACGCTCTACACTTCGCCTACCGGTACGAGGCCGCCACTCGAGAACCTTTCTTCCCCATCGGTTGTCGGTTCTTCGAGCTATATGGCCGGCCCATGGCCACTTCATAACAACCAAAAATAACAAACTGCGGTTGCCAAACCGCTTGGTAAGCGTGGCAACGATAGCAAATATGCCCCGTACGAGGCAATCTATGAAAGAGGTCATTTTTAGCAGTGGAAAGTCCACTGCTAAAAATGACCAACCAATTCGTTGCGACACCAATTTTCAACAACTTTTAACTGTGACGGCGAACAAATATTTTATGACACGTCTGTCGCGTCAAGCGCCATAGAAGTATATGACACGTCTATTGTGCCATCAGCCATCTGTAAAAATAATGTTCTTTTTTATACTTTTTTTCACTTGTTTAGACGTTATTAAGTTTAGGTGACATCAAACATCAGTTGCGGACGGAAGGATTCTTGTTTTACTGGCTAACTACGTGTTTTTTTATGTTTTCCTTCAAATTTAATAAAATTTTATTAAATTCCTATAAAAAGGTCACTTAGTCTCCAAGTGACTTTTTTATGCATAGATTACAAACCTTTGGTACAGCTAAATCACCCTGAAAAACTTGGTTTTGTTAAATAAATTTTTTACCTAATAATAATGTTTGTAAATATCAAACAATCAAGGACCTTAATTTGTAAAAAATAAGGTTTATATTTCATTGATATAAAGTCGATCTGAAAACATCTAATTAGTAAGAATAGCAAAACAAGTGTTTATAAAAGGAAAAAACAATAGCCAGATGCGCCGGCGCTGTACAGCAGCGGATCAACAAAATACTATTTATTAGCAATTTTTTTATGCATGAACGTATTCGAACAGTTTCAAGCAAAAATAAACCTTATACCATATCACAAGAGCACATGGTACTTCGTAGGTTCATTTCGTCACATAATAAGATATTGGAATAAGACGTCAGTTCAATCATTTTAAGCAAAATTAAACAAAAAGACAAAAGCATTGTTTTTTTTTTTAACATGAGACTTGTTTTCCTGAAACGTGTTAACAACTTGAGTTTGTGAGCAATCGCAACGAGTGCTATTATTTGTTACTTATTAGATTATTATTCCATAACATGATTTAAAAAATCCACACAGTATAAAGAGTACCATGAACAAGTTAAAAAAGATTGTCAACCACTAAAAATTGCAAATTCTCAAAATATCTAGAAATGAAGCTGTAGGCATGAACTACTTGCAAAGTAATGAATATTTTGTCCTGGATAAATCTTCCAAAAATGCAATTTGTGCGAGTTATAACGATTTAAAAAAAATACGACTACCGCGTGTCACATGACACAGAAAAAGAATCGATGGCACGCCTGGCAATTTCATTAGTGCCGGTGGAGATCGCAGTGCGTAATTTGTCATGATTGCGTTACGCGTACAGCAAAGGAGTGGAGTAAATTGCCGACGTCTGTCTTTCCATCTCATTAAAATCTGTGTGTCTTTAAGGAGTGATAAGCTTTTGTTGCAGCTTTTGATAAGATAGTCACAGTGCCATCTAGGGATTTAGCACCACAACGCCAGAAGGGACTTGTAGTCAAGAACTGGCTTAATAAAACTAAATAACCGGCCAAGTGACGCGCATGTAGGGTTCTGTACCATCGTAATACAACGTTTCTAGTAGGGGCTAGCTCCTTTTAATTTTTAATTTATTTTAATTTTTATTACTTGTTGTTACAGCGGCGACAGAAATACACATACTGTGAAAATTTCGACTGTCTACCTCTTACGGATCATCAGATATAGTCCGCTGACAGACAGATAGATGTATGGACGGACGGACGGATAGCGGAGGCTTAGTAATAAGGTCCCGTTGGTTACCCTTTGTGTACGGAACCTTAAAAAGGAACTCGGTTTGATTGTGTAATATGATATTTAAGTTGACCGCAGATTCACGCTACAGCTATATTATGGTTGCAGCACGATGGGTTATGGTGTGGTAAGGGTCCACTCGACCAGATAAGCGACCAGACAAAGAAATATCAACTTAATGCTGTTGTGTTTCGTTACGGTGACTGTAGAAAACCGGAGACACTTTTTACCAGTAACTAGGCAATCTATCTTGATATTCAAGATTCAGGGGTGAAAACACACCTATATTTACAATATCCACCTCATGGTAAGTACCATGAGGTGGACTGTGTGTTCTTTTGTCACCCTTTTTCTATAAAAAAGCAGAACCTGCGGCTTGGTAGTTGTTTACTTGTCATGAGGCCATCAAATTTTTATTTGATTTATTTAACATAATAGAATATGCATTCTGTAACATTTTTACAATAAGAAAGCAGCATAACCGGCTGTTCAAAAAAGAATTTCGCTTCTAAAACAATTCAGAACATCTGCAGGTGCACTTGTTCAAAACATCGACCAACAAACTCGTAATTAAAAACTCACATGGGAATTTTTTCACGTGCATTCATAGCTCGTTAGTATTCGCAATTGTGTTTCGGAGATTTTTTAAATATTCACTGTTGCGTTTCTGCGAAGCAATCAGAATTTCAGCGAGTCGATTTCGAAAATTAAATCGCATTCGCAAGTATATCTATAATTTCACGGGCTCAAAATATAGACAAGGGGACTGACTGATTCCATCTAATCTAATCTAATCTAATATAATATATAAAAATTCATGTTTGCTTGTTCGTATTTTATTCGCTGCCATACCTTTCTTCAGATTGCCCTAAAACTTTGTCAACTTAATGGAAGTGCAAGACTTGCGCTTCCATTAAGTTGACAAAGGTTATAGGCATAGTACAGTTAACTTACAGTAGGCGGTATCGTACTGACAAATTTATATAACTACTAGCTGACCAGGCAGACGTTGTTCTGCCCTTTCCGACGACCATTTGCGTTCCTAAAAAAAACTCCTGAGATTAGCAATAAAAAAATTGAGTGTCACTTATCGGGATAAAAACTATCCTATCTCTTAAGTTGAACCAAACTGCACAGTGTGCAAAATTTCATTGAAATCAGTTTAGTAGTTTAGGAGTTCATCGCGGACAAACAACGTGACACGTAATTTTTATATATAAAGATAATAATATAACTCTTCTAAATTTAAAACGATAATTCCACAATTATTTCTTTTGCAGCAGCAATGCGCTCGGTACCAGCCAGTCGTAATAAAAATTGACTTTCCATAAGTATAATGTATGAAATAAATTATATTCTAATTATATCGCTAATTATCATGCGATTATGATAAATCCAATAACATATACAACACAGCCTACCAAAGGTCCACTGCTGACACAAGCCTCTCCTGACGAGGCCCTCACAGGGAGTATGTTTTTTATAGTTGCCACGCGTCAACGTGTCAAAACGCATGTCTCAGTTTTTTTTATTATTTAATTCTTCATAGGCTCTGACCGTCATAAACTCGAACCGACAACCTATGGGGAAGAAAAGTTCTTGAGTGGCAGCTTAGTACCAGTAGGCGAAGTGTAACGCGGGCCGCGTGTAAGTGTAAAGTGTGTAACGCGCCCACTAGATGGGGTGACGACCTGCCCCCTGCATCCATCGATTTCCTACATGTCTTACACATAAGCGTAAACATGCAGGAAATCGATGGATCCAGGTGGCTCAGGACCATGCTTTGTGGCATTCCTTGGGGAAGGCATATGTTCAGCAGTGGACTTGTGAAGGACGGTAATGACGATGATGAAACTTTAAATCTTATTCATATATTTATATATTATTCATATATTGATATATTATTCATATATGTATTTATATAAATATAATTTAAGAATTTATTTCTGCAGTACATAAAACACTGCCCGTTGCACCATTCTGTCAAAATATTAAATTGCATACAATTTTTTTTACACGTTCGGTTCGTCAGGTAGAGTTGCGTCTGTTATTGTAATAACTTTAGGTTTAAATGCAATAAGTTATCTATTTATCTATATATCTAAATAACCGAGAATAACGTTAAATGAAGAAATTTTATATACTTGAAACTAATATGTTTAAAGTGCATATTGTGCATACTGCCACTACACATACTCGTACAGCTAACAAGAGTATAATTTTTAACAGAAAGAGAAACATAAACTTTTTATTCAATGTTATATATATATATATATATATATATATATATATATATATATATATATATATATATATATATATATATATATATATATATATATACTTAGTGAAAAATAGAAATTCATATTTATATTTCAAAACTGAATTATATAACACTGAAAAGTAATGTTATACCATATATAGATCCTACTCCTGGTCATAAGCCTTCTCTCACTGAAGCCTAAATTTAATTTATAAATTTAAGTATTGTATATCGATGTCTATATGAAGGTCGTCCATGATCTTTTTCTTTTGCACCTATTAACAATTATTATCCCCCATTACTATAAGGTGTACTGTGAACTTATTATTGTGCACTATAACTCAAATAAGTTACACAGTTAACAGATGTACAATATGAAAAAAAAACTAATTTTTAATTTAATCGTTGCATATATTTAAGCCTATGTACAATTATCAGGAATCACATTCTAAGCATTTGGTCGGTGCTCATTAACATGACGTCTTTGTATGACCACCTGACCAGCATGTCAGTGTCCAAGAGAGTCAGGTCGTCACGCTTCATCACCATGTCGGACATGTCGATATCTTTAATAGTGTTAGACAGTGCCAAGTCCTTTCTGAAAACCATGATATCGGCGAACTTCATGTTGCTAGTGAAGAAGCGGGTCATGTCGATTTCTCTGTCGAATGGGAATCCAAGAGGCATGTTGTCGATGCAAGTGGTCCAGCGGCACACACGGCGGTCCTTCATGATGCCCATATCGATGGTCGGGAGAACGTATCCTTCGCGGACGGGCGTCACCACGACGAACATCTGCAGAGGAAGCCCACCAAGACGACCCAGAGGAAGGAGCAGTCTGTGCGGGAAGCCGAGACGAGTCTTGTACCACCAGTTGTCAACTACTCTATCGCTGTTGATTGTGGTCGTGGTTGTTGTGCCCAAGCCAAACAAGTTTCGGGTCCAAGGCCTGTCCATGATGACACCGTGCATATCAATTGAGTTGCGGACGATCGTGTTCTTACCAGTGTCGAGTTTGTACAGGAAGCTGTCGATCTCCACCATATCGAGACGCTTGTCGTTGACGCTAAGAAGGCGACCCATACAGTCGTATTTGGGACCAATGAAGATGCGTACGACAGCATCAACAGCCTTTTCAGACACGACATCCAAGGTAACCTTGAAGGGATGGTGGTTGAGACGACGCATACGGGCTACATAAGTCATGTCAGAGCGTTTCTTCTGCATTTCAGACTCGTCAAGGTACAGCGCATTGGTGATATCCATGTCGTAGTCATCCATGAAAGTGACAAGCTTATCGGTGACGATGCGTTCGACCTTGACACCAGGGAAGTCAAATTCACCGCGTGTGTACCTCGGCAGCAGCTTCTTGAAGAGGACGACGTTTTCGACGATGCGCTTCATCACCTTCCAGAAGACAGGGTCACGCAAGCACGTGGTGTACATGTCGAGAGCGGTTGGCACGTAGGTGTACCTAGAAAAAATACAAATTGAACTACGATTAGGTCTCAGATTTAATCGTAGCTGTTGCGTGAGATAATACTTAATAATTGTAAGTTCTATTTTAAATCAGTAACTAAAGTATTTTCACTTGTTACAGTAAATTGTTTTCAAAGTATAAGAGCTGTAACCGAGAATTGGCGGGTGTAAGAATATACACTACCACATATTGTATCGTGTGTCGTAAAAAAATGACAGAGGGAAATTGAAACAGATGATGGGCAGCCATCTTTATGATAAAAAATCAAATTTATAAAAAACTGCGGTTGCCACGCGTGGCAGTCGGGTGGCAACTATGGCAAAGTCCTATCTATAAGGCAATCTATGGGGGAGGCCTATGTTCAGCAGTGAACCTTTATAAACTGTAATCGATGGATGATATAATAACTATTGTAGACCAAAGTAATAACGTACTTGTCAGCATTGTAAAGGCTGTATGACAGGAGCTTCTTAATCAAGTTAGTCACATGGATGACCTTGGCATCATCGTGTTGCATGCCCATACCACCAAGGATAAGTCTGCACAGGTACTCGACATCCTCAGGTTTTTTCAGGCTGATAACTGTCCCGTCACGCTAAAACATGAATGCAATAATGATGTCACTTGTAGAAAGGTAAATATAATTCCAGTTCAATATGATTGGTTAGAAGCTACTTACTCGCAAGATTTGGCCAGTTAGAATGCCTTCGCGAATGATCTTTTCAATGTTGTCCAAGAGTATCCTGTCATCCAAATTGTTTTGGGTAATCAGCTTGACGTTGTTCTGTCGCACGGGCATTTCATCACCGGTGTGGAGGCGGATCTTAGGCCAGTAGCCGTTCTCTTGCACGTCATTCCACATTATCATCTTAATGTCACACATACCACGAGCCAAGCGTTCCAGTCTCAGTCTAGCCAACAACTGTTGATAAGCGTACATCATGACCTCTCCGCGACGCTCCTTCTGCAGACCATACGCATCATCAGTCATCCAGTAAGGATAGCTCATGTGCAAGTAGTACATGTAAGTGTTAAGGTCTATATCTTCGGTGAAGTAGGAGATTTTGTCGTCTTCAGACAAAACGTGGCGGAGGCCTTTTCGCCAATCAATGACGACGAGGTTCTTGTCGGTGACTTTGATGCCGTAGTAGTCCTGGATGACTGGATCCTTAGCAGCTCTGGTCATTTTCATCATAAACGCTTTGTTAATGATGTGGCTGTCGACGAAGAAGTAGGGGTAGATTTCGTAAGGGGCAGGGATGGTGACACCACGGCAGTCCGTTCTGTGGAACACGGCGCAGGTTAAGGCGTAGACAAACATGCCACCGTTGATGCGCTCTCTTAGCCAGCAAGCGGTTCTAAGGAATGTGTCGAAGTCCTTCGCGAAGTACAAGAGGCGGAAGACCATAACAGCCTGCTCGATGTGCAGCTCATTGGTGTGGACGAAGATCTCACCGCGAGGCAGCATACCCATTTTAAACATGCGAACGAATTTCTTCACGACATCTACTTGCTGCAATTTTAAAATATAAATAAGTATAAACCACATAAAATTGTTTGATAAATTAATGTTGGACGTAGCTTTGCAACATGTTGTATATTAATGTGTAAATAGTTGGTTAATTTTTTTATAATTTCGAAAAAATATCTCCTCTTTACAAAAAAAAACTTAATGTGGTGGGTACCTCAGGATTTTCTCCTGTATTAGTTTGCACAAATAAATGATACAACGACAAATTTCCAGACCCTGATCAATTAGTTGTAGGCCATACAAATACTTGTTCCGTTCGGGATTCGAAACTTCGGCCTTCAGCAACGCATCTGATTGCTAAGCCTTTGCGCCACGGTGTCGTCAATAACATATGTCGACATAATTTAAATGAATTTTATCGTAATTGTAACGAACTTACCAGATACTTGTCAAGATTCTCTTCGAGCACAAATTCGCGGGCGACCTCTCTGATGTCTTCGTACATGGTGGGTTGCAGAATGTGGTTCAGAAGCTTCATGATGCATAATTCCTTGGTCTTAATGTCCAAGTTCACTATAAAATTATTAAAAATATGTTATTAAATGATACTTGTTTCTGATGGCATATTCTTTATGTAAAATGTTTATGGATGATAATAACCCCTGGAAATGAGGTGATCGCTACCAAGCTATTTCTAATTTGTTGTGTTGTTAATTTGTGTAACATACATGATTGTAAGCTATTATTTTTTAAAAAAAGTCCCGCTGGATTTGTTGCTGGTTCTTCCCAGGACAGAGGTTTTTTATCGAACCAGTGGTAATTAAAGAAAAGAGTGACTTTCCATAAGTATTATTTATAATCTATATTGAATAAATTTATTTGAAGCGTCAGTAGCCTAATGGCAGGGCGCGGACCGCGAACTCGAAAGGTCGTGGGTTCGAATCCGCCATTCGACTACTATCGTGAACCACTTCTAACACAAGCATTTTAAGCTTACCAGAAGTAGTTAAAGGGAATATTAGTAATGTTTAATAACATTACTAGTATTTTATAATTAAAAAAAAACGTTTCTGTTTCTGTTTCTGTATATATATAATTCTTCTGTCCGTGTATATGTGACTGAAATCTTCCTAAACTACTCGACCATTTTTAATGATATTTTGTGTGTGTGTGTGTGTGTGTGTGTGTGTGTTTGGTGTGTGTGTATGTGATTAAGTTGATTCTAGAATGGTTTAGATTAACAATTGGACCCAGTAGGTGGCGCTGTTGCTGAAATCCAGAAATCACCCACGAGAAGCCGGGTCGGATTACTAGTACTAAACTTAAAATTCCAACATTTTTATCTTTGTGTGGGAATAAAATATTAGTATCCCCTATCTCTCAAATTAGCCGATAAATCTTTGCTATGATAAAATACCTTTTTTTAATATATCTTTGTAAGTGTAAGATTAAGGTCATCAATCCCTGGCGGGTTGACATACTCGTAATGATTATTGACACCTCTTATGATACGCTGCGGTCTATCACAGTGCGCTAACTTTGTTGTTTTAAATAACAATGTATAAAACAATACCATTTGGGATTAAAATTAAACAAAGTTCACTCTCAGGTGTCAATATTTGAAGAATTTAAGTATTTAAACCAAGAGTGGTGAAGTAACCAAACGTTAGTAATAGCGGCTGAAATATGCAGTTCTTTGGAATTTCTCTTTGAGAAAGGCTTATATCTTGACGGAGTAATGATACTTCGCAAACTTTTGTCATCAAAACCCGCAGAAAGTTTCTACGCAGAGACAAATATTTAAAAAGTCAACAATATTAGCTGCAAGCCTTACGATCCTTTCAATTGATGAGCGATATATAATATATTTTTAAAACATGCGTCTCTTAATTTAATTGAGAGGTTTATTATTTTTGATTCGGCATTAAAAGCCTAAAAATCTGGAGATTTGCCTCTAATGATTTGCCTTAACCATCACAATTGATAGCACTCAAGAAGACGGTATAATACAATGTGAATAAATATGAATTTTCATTAAAACCGATTCCATTTATCAAACAAAAAAAATTGTCATGTTTTTATATTAGAAATATTATTAATGAAATTTCTTTTGTTATCTGTAGAATGGTGCCGGTATAAGAAATGTTTTACCACTTATTGTTGTCCCATGGCTGTTGTAGGAAGCGACTATTGGAATAATTATCTTACGAATTCCAAGAGAAATATAACCGTTTCATATACCACATGTAAAATAATAATAATAATAATAATTGTTTTATTGTTTCTCAATGCATTGTCATGCATTACAGACATTAGAGAGTGAGTGAGTGTGTGTGTGTGTGTGTGTGTGTGTGTGTGTGTGTGTGTGTGTGTGTGTGTGTGTGTGTTTGTGTGTGTTTGTGTGTGTGTGTGTGTGTGTGTGTGTGTGCAGCCGACGAACAAAAATTGAAATAGTTGATAATTCTCCCTGATAATAACTTCATAATTATAAAAAAGTCTGCAGTTTTTTTATAGAATGACAAACGAGCACACAGTCCACCTGATGGTAAGTGGTTGCTGTGGCCTATAGACATCTACATCTATCGTCAATAAAGAATCAAAATGCAGATACGTTGTCACCCGTGATGACTATGGTGGAATGCCTCTTTTCCGGTAAAAAAGGTTTAACACAGCAGCGTTAAGCTGCTATTTTACGCTGGTATTCTGTGAAAGTCTTGTCGTCTTCTCCGGTTGAGCCGACCCATTCTTGCATCAACCATGATATATGTAGCTGCAGCATGGCTCTAGTACTTAAGTTGGCAGCTCATACGTAGATTATTAAAGTGAAAACGTTTTTAGGCACGTTAGGCACCTTTGAGATCTCTACACTAGCCATATGAATAGGTGTTTCATATGGTTAGTGTAGAGAACCGAAGAACCTTTTACTTAATCGAGGATAGATGTAGATGTCTATGGGCTACAGAATCCACTTAATATCAAGTGGAATTTGTTGAAAATTACTTATAAAATAAAGTTTGTAAAGAATGTTAGAGGAAAAATGAAATAAGTTGTATAAATAACTTACCCAAGGGTTCCTTTCCGAATAAAACATTAAACTGGTCATCTTTGACCACGGAGGCAGTTGCCACCGCCAAGAGCGCTGCTACCCACACCAACTTCATGATGGACGTTGCCGTTGGAACTGTGCCTGATCGCTCCCGTCCACGCTCTTTTATACTCGTTCGGAATAAAAAGAGCATTGTGTACTCACGATAACCCGATAACCTCTCTTTCTTTATTGTTTACTGTAAATAATTTAATCTGTAAAAATTAAAAATCACAACGTTTTTAATGCTTTTTTTTTTAATTGTGCTTAATAATTTATCTTAAAAACTATAACCGACTTTAATGAACTCCAAGGTATTGCATAATTTCTTCATCTTTATATATTTAATTCTTCTTAACGAGTATTTGTCATAGAACTCGATTTTGATAAAATGGTGTGTGTGTGCATTTGAGTGGGATCCTGGAAAGTCAAGATACAAAATTGGACCTGATAGGTGGCGTTGCAAAAAACTAGAACCGGATTGCAGCCATGCTGCAGCTATATAGCTATGGTTGTAGCACGAATGGGTCGGCTCGAACGGGGAAGGACCACGCTCTCACAAAAAACCAGCGTAAAATAGCAGCTTAACGCTGCTGTGTTTCGTATGGTGAGTGTAGAGAACCGGAGACCCTTTTTACTGGCAAAGAGGCATTCCATCTTAGTCCTCACGGGCGACAACGCATCTGCATCTTGAGTCTTTATTGAGGATAGATGTAGATGTCTATGGGTCACAGTAACCACTTACCATCAGGGGAACTGTGTGCTCGTTTGTCACTAGATCCTATAAAAAAAAAACTAGCTGACCAGGCATACGTTGTTCTGCCCTTTTCGGCGACCATTCATATAAAAAATCCTTAAATTCGTAATAAAAAAATATTGAGTGTCACTTATCAGGATAAAAACTATCCTATCTCTCAAGTTGGGCCAAACTGCACAGAGTGTGCAAAATTTCATTGAAATCAGTTCAGTACTTTAGGAGATCATCGCGGACAAACAACGTGACACGTAATTTTTATATATAAAGATAAATATTTGACCCCTTTTAGGGGACAAAGCACTATCGCAAACTTTAGACAACTAGAATATCATGTAAATATCTACATTAAAGACTCCATTCCATATTCTTCACCATTAGATGTACAATTTCAAAAGGAATTTTCTTCAAATTTAAACAGGAACTTTCCTAATAAATTCGGTCTTATTAAAGCCCTTTTTTAATATAACTGAAGTAACAAACGAATTCGCAGCCTGTAATTAAAATGGCCTTCTATACCCATCATACCTACTACTACTCAAGGCTCAGGAGTGAAAGCGCATGTATATGTTGACCATTCATCGGTTATAGATGCAACTTTTGTATGTGGTAGAGCCACGCTGCAGCTAATGGTTATACCACGCTCTCACACAATACCAGCTTAAAATAGCAGCTTAATGCTGCCGTGTTTCGTATGGTGAGTGTGGAGAACCGGAAACCCTTTTACTGGTAACGAGGTATTCTATCTTAATACTCAAGGCTCTGGGGTGAAAACGAATCTATTTTAATTCTTCAACGGATAAGAAGCAAGTCACTATGGGCTAAAACATCCGCTTACCATCACGTGAACTATGTGCTCATTTGTCACACTTATTGTTTAAAAAACAACTTTTTTTATAGGATATGGTGACAAACGAGTACACAGTCCACCTGATAGTAAGTGTTTACTGTGGCCCATAGACATCTACATTTATCCTCGTTTGCGAATCAAAATCTAGATGCGTTGTCACCCGTGAGGACTAAGATGAAATGCCTCTTTTCCAATAAAAAGGGTATCCGGTTCTCTACACTCACAATACGAAACACAGCAGTGTTAAGCTGCTATTTTACGCTGGTATTCTGTGAGAGCGTGGTCCTTCCCCGGTCGAGCCGACCCATTCGTGCTACCACTATACTACTAATATAGCTGCAGCATGACTCTACCACGTATCAAAAACTCTTGTTATAAAAGTTACTCATCTGAAATAGGTAATAATTACAACTTATTTATTGATAGTCTTTGGCCGCCCTCCAAAATGTAGAGCATGAAATGTCAGGTGATAATGATAAAGTAACATTGTTGCATTGTTTTTGTTGCGATTGCATTCATATCTTAGTGCTAATTGTCCTGGTCGCCTTTTTTACAACGAGCAAACCGCCGGCTCGATAGCTCAGTAGTTAAACATCTTCTGTTACCGTCTGCGTTGATTCAAGGTCAATCATGTATAATGTCGACTATAACTAAATATTTATTTATTTGTAATTTATATTTATAAAAGTTTTCTGACACACAAAAAATTGTTATCCTCGTAGTGTATATCTTATAATTTTTATTAATTCTAGAAAACTTATAGCTTGTGACAGATGACTGCTTATAGCTGCAGCGTGGCTTTACTACGTGAATAAAATCGCCCGGGGAAGGACCGCTCTCTTACAGAATACCGGCGTTAAATAGCAGCTTAGTGTTTCTGTGTTTCGTGTGGTGAATATAGAGAACCGGAGACCCTTTTTACTGGAAACGAGGCATACCATTGCATCAGCATTTAGATTCATAATCAAGGACAGATGTAGATGTCTATGGGTATCAGCATCCACTTGCCATCGTAGACAGCGTGCTGTCTAAATAAAAAAAAAATCGGTTGTCTGTAAAGTCAGTTTACTGACGATAGTTGAACGTGACAACGTCATAAGAAAATGTTGCTATAAACAATTGACACCACATTCACTTTTCACTGCACTTCATACTTGACGAAAACATGTAAATGTATTATTGTATAGTAGCTGTCCATGCGGACGCATCGCTCACTCAAGTAGGAGAGAGACAGATGTCGAACGCTGCCGAACGCGGAGGCCGATTGTGCCTCTTTGTCACTCGTTCCGCGCTCTCGCTTGCACTTCAAGCCTTAAATGGAACGCCTCAGAGCGAGGTAACGCCGCATGAGTCATGTTTTTTCGTGCGTGCAGCCAGCTTCATCGAATTATAAGACGTTGTCACGTCAAAAAGATCAAAATTTTCCCTGCGCATCTTGATTGCTTCACCTTGAAAATGCAAAACCGTCGCCGTGCACTTCCACTGTGGATCGTATTGGTAAATCCAAGATTCACCACCTGTAGTTACCTGTCTGCCCCAGAAGGAGGCTAATGCTTTTCACGTGTATGTATGTATGATTGTTTATTTATTTGGTACGCCCTGTAGCCTAAATATTTTGATCGATCATAACTCATGGGGTTTTGTTAGATTTGTCTTAGTTGTAGAAGTGACACAAGATATTTCTTCCTCTTTTCAGTAAACTTGTTTTGGGTTTTGTTTTTTGTTTTTAATTATTGTTTTAAATTTGGAATATTTAATTCGTAAACATGCCGAAATAATCCTGCTTAAAATTTAGTAATAACATCTAGATACTATGTCACGTGGGCCTGCTTCTGAACATCGTTGTGTTTGCGCCACACGGTAAGGTGTTCGTGTAAAATATTTTGGAAAGTTACATTCATTTCCCAAAGGAATATGCAATATGTGCTGAATGTCTTCATACAGTATTTCTCTCGTCATTCTATAGGATGCATTTATTTAAAGTATAAGTGTGACAAACGAGCACACGATCCATCTGATGGTAAGTGGTTGCTATGGCCCATAGACATCTAGATCTATCTTCGTTTGCGAATCAAAATGCAGATTCGTTGTCAGCCACGAGGACTAAGATGGAATGCCTCTTTTGAAATAAAAAGAGTCTCTGGTTCTCTACACTCACCACACGAAACACAGCAGCATTAAGCTGCTATTTTACGCTGGTATGCTGTGAGCGCGTGGTCCTTCCCCAGTGGAGCCGACCCATTCGTGCTACAACTAAACAATTAATATAGGTGCGGCATGGCTCTGCCACGTTTAAAAAAACTGCCCTAAATGCATTTCGGTGAGTGTGCGCAGTAATTACATGCTTTAACTAATTCCTCTCCTTTTCGCTATCGGATAACTAGGCGGTTGGCATCTCTTCACCCCTTTGTTGTCGATATTCCACGCATTAGAACCAAACGGTTTGCTTCGTCTTTTGTAACGCGTACAGTAAAGGAGCGCAATAATTTTCCGACATCTACTTTTCCATCCGAATTCAATTTTTTATTTATTTATTTATTTATTCTTTATTGCATTCCTTAAAACAAAAGAATACAAAGGGCGGACTTAATGCCTTGAGACATTCTCTACCAGTCAACCCATGGAGTGGTGAGAATTTGACGTAGGTGCGACAATATAGAATAAAATAACGGTACACAAAATAATAATTAACTACATAATACATACAATTTACTAATAAATAAACTATACATATATGACGTATATAAACATATATGCAAATATATACATACAAATATACATATTTAAATACATAATATATAATTAGTACATACAAATACCTATGAATATATGCGTCTGTTTAGCAATACATATCAAATGGATGAATCAAGTAAAATGCTTTGTCTTCAATGTGGGCGTCTTCAAGACAAGAGTGAATAGGCTTTCGTTACTCTAAGACAATGCGATTTACCATCTAAGGCTGCATCACCACTTACCAACCATGTGGGATTATGGTCAAGTACTGGCTTATAAAAAGTAAAAAAATATGTTTTGCATACGTTTGATTCTCGCGCATGTAACCCTGTGCAACCTTTATTTATAAGTCATGTAGTTTTTATTTTTACATGCTTTTTTTGGTTTTTTTAGGGTTCCGTACCTCAAAAGGAAAAAACGGAACACTTATAGGATTACTTTGTTGTCCGTCTGTCTGTCTTTTTTTTTCTTTTTTTCTTAGCATAAAAAACGTTACCCCCACACTAGGATTTTCTCCTGTATCGTGGAGGCAGTTTACAAACATATATTGCATAAGGACAAACATCCAGACCTGGAACAATTATTTGTAGTCCATACAAATACTTGTTCCGTGCGGGATTCGAACCCGTGGCTCCAAGCGTTGCAACTCATTGCTAAGCCACTACGCCACGGAGCCGACAATCTGTCTGTCAAGACCCTTTTTCTCAGGAACGCGTGGAGGTATCAAGCTTAAATTCAA